GTTCATCTCTGAGCACCGGCTAGAGCAAGTGAATTGATTTTCTCTCTGCCTAGAGAGATATTTGAAGATGGCCTACAATGAGTATAGAGGCTGGATAATGTACTTTTTAAATTAGTCTCTTTCCCAAACGCATTGTGAATCCTTTCCTTTGTTCTTCCCTTTTGTTTTTCCACCCAACTCTAATTACAGTTATCTTGACTTTTGTATGTGAAAAAAAAAAATCCACCTTAAATCCTTGTTGGAACAAAGCTGAAAGGTAAATACACACACACACACACACACACGCCCCTGAATGGAGGCTACTTAGAATGTTTGACTTAAGTAGGACAATTTAATTGTGGCCTATAAGTGCGTAATAAGCTTCTAGCTAAATATTTGAAAAGAGGGCAGTACAGTCTTTTCTCTAGAATATGGGCCTAGCCTAAGCCTCATTTTTAAGAAGCCCTTAAATTAACGATCATAATTCAAACTCAGCAAATGCATGGCCAAGTGTCAGATACACTGTTCTTCCAAATTTAACCAAAACATGCCTCTCTCTGCATTATTAGTTCTGTTCATCAGTGATCTCGGTTTTGCCAAAGTAACTCTTAAAGAGCAAGCCAAGAAATTGATTGTTTTTATTTTTTTAAGGGCTCTGTCTTGGATTGAAATATTCTTTTACTCTACTGTCTCATTACTGTTTAGGAAAAGTAAATGGACAGGAATATTTCTCTGCATCAATGAATACACATGCATTTTTCTCCTCTTTCTCCTTCCTTCACCCTAGACCCTTTCCCGGAGTTTGACTTTTATGACCCTTTGATTGCTTCTTTTTGCATGTGAAATGTGTTCAGTAATACTCCACTTCCTCTTCACTCTAGAAGTTAAGGGGTTTTAAGAAAAAGTAAGCCTATTGCATATGACTTTGATAATCAAAGCAGCCACAGTGCATCGGTGTGTAAAAAGTAGTAGATTATGTACACAAACTTGTTTCAGTTTAGTGAATTGATAGCAGGGCCAGTTAACAAATCAAGTCAAAGTTTCCACCCTGAAAGGCTAATGTTTCATTTCTTTTATTTCCAAGACTTACGAGGGTAGTGGTTTTATAAAAACAAGACTTTCTTTTGGTATCAAAGGTTATAATTAACCATTTGAATCAACTGTCGAATTAAGAGCGGATGTGCACTGTAGGCTCAATCAAGGTCACAGCTACTACTGTTACCAGAACCTGGGGGTGCTGTGGTGTGATCTTGGACTTCTAACAACACGTGAGCCCTGAAACCTGCCCGCTGCTTTAAGAGAGAAAGATGAGACTTTGGGGTGCCCAAAAGAATTTATCGTCCTGATACCCAGTTCTACTCAGTCTTACAGGGTTGCTAAGAGGTGGAATCGATTTGATGGTAGTGGGTTTCTTTGTTTGTTTCCTTTGTCATAGTGCTCCAGCTAATGACACTAACAATAACACCAAGTTCCTCACTCTCATGCTCATTAACAAATAGACTAAACCAAGTTCCTGGAAACCTCTTCTTCCCCGACCACTTCTCCACACAATACTATAAATCCTACCGCGGGCAGTTAAGAGGGAAAGAAGGAGAATGTTTGAGGTCAGTGTGCCCACGCCGCTGACATTAGAGAACACTGTTGCTACAGCTGGTAACTTCTGTGCTCTGTTTCCCCCGACCTCCGGGAGCCACAGGCTCATAGTCCCTCAATCCATGGGCCTTGGGCCAAGCTGGCATAGGCATCTCTCCCAAGCCTTACAGGAGAGGGCAGAGTGGAACTTGTATGAAGTGCGTGGGCAGAGAGCTGCTGGGCTGAGCCAGTGTGTCAGGTCCTTCCATTGGCTATACTAACCACAAGGTTAGCTATTTGAAACCACCAGTCGCACTGTGGAATAAAGATGAGGCTTTCTATGCCTGTAGAGTTACACTCTTGGAAACCCAATGGGGCCATGTGTACCCTTCCCTATAGGGCTCTTATGAGTTGGCATTAACCTGATGGCAGTGAGAGTACTGAGTACCTATGGATTAGTGTTATAATAGGAATTATTTATCGAGCGCCTATGGATTGGTGTATTGTATTGTAGCAGAATGAGTGCCTATGGACTGGTGTTATTATAAGTGTGTCCGGAGCACCTATGGATTGACATCACAGTAACTTAGCTTCAGATTCATTCTCTGCCTTAATTTTTTTCCCCGTTAAAATGAGTTTGACCACATTATGCACTCACACAGGAAAGGGTTTGTTCTCCTGGAACCGCTGGTGTTTAGGACGATGGAACATAATTGAAAATCAAAATGTGCCTGTTTCCGTGACCTCGTGTTGCGGGAGCAGAAGGAGCCGAAATGAATAGTTTGGGGAAAGAGAAACTGAGTCTCTCACGGTGCAGGAGGCTCGAGGGGAAGGCTTCCAGCTTGTGGCTGGTCCCTTAGAGATCTTCTTGTGGCCTGGGATCCACCTCTCCCTCCTCTCTGCTTGCCGATCGGCTCTTTTTAGTTCCTGTAAGAGATTGAGTGAAAACACACCTGACACAAATCCTGCCTTATTATCCTGGCAGAGCACTCATTCCCAGATGAGTTTTTAACCACAGACAGAGAGGTAGCATATATTTTGGGGGGACACAACTCAATCCCCGACAGTGCCTTAATTAAAAATCAAAAAGCATCCCTGCCTATGCCCTTGTGAAAATTGCGTGCTGAGCAATTAAGGAGGCTGTTGGCTGGGGTGAAGTCTGCACTTAGCCTGTGTCATTACCAAGAAACCAGAGGGACCTCAGTGGGTCCTGTGGATGAGCAAAAGAAAATGATTTCCGGGTCTAAGTGGAGTCATTAAGAATGCAAGAGTGCTAATGCACTGGGGCAGCTTCCAGGGCACCAGTCATGCCTGAGCCTCGGCAGGAAAAGCCTCAGCACACATTGGAGGCGTCCCCTGCATCAGGGAGTAGACGCAGGGCCAGACGACCCTCTGTGCTAGCCCAAGGAGAGGGCCACCGTTGAAGGAGCCCACCCTGGGTGCCCACCTCTGTGGCAAGCATTTCACTGTGCCTTACTTCAAAGGTGGCAAAATAGTTCAGGGATTTGGGAGCTGGGAAAAGAAACAGTGGCCAAGGCTGGAAGAGAAAGCATGAGAGCTTAAAACCAATCCATGGTGCTGCTTCTCTCGAAGTCCAGTCAGTCCACCTTGATGGCTAATGCTCTGTGGTGCCCTCACACCGCACAGGCCAGCCCTGGCCCAAGCAGGACTCAGCTGCAGGCTCCCAGTGAAGGGACTGCTGGGTTTCCACTCCTTCCTGCTCAAGCTCTCAGTCCCTGGGCAGTGGCCGAGCTCCTAGCCTCCTGCCCCATTTTTTCTGGCTACCTTACCCAGCTGAGTGTCTGCCTCACCTGCAGATGTGTACTTAGCCTTGCACACCAAGTGTGAGAACACCAGCAGGAGCTAATGTGAATCAAGCATTTGCTGCATGAGGTCTTGGGATAAGCCCTCTGTGTGGGGTCATCACAGTTACCTAATAAGGTAGGCACCTTCTCCTCTCCTCCTCTCTCCTCTGCAGCTGCAATCCAGTGAATTTCGATTCCTGATGACCCCCTTGTGCATCAGAGTAAAACTCTGGATTTGTCAGAGTTTTTTTCTCACATACCACTGGGGGAGAGGGGTGGGGCGGAGAGGACACTCTTGTGCCACCTCAAGATTCACTATGGTGGACATCCCTTTGCACAGATGATGAAATAGATGATAGGTAATATGCCTGACATCACAAAATGCCCATGAGTGGCTGACCTGGGACAGCCCCAATCTACCAGTCTCTGAGCTGCCTCGGACACCATGGACAAGTCACCTCTGTCTTTGACTGACTTAAGAATACCCAACCTTGGTGCCAATCATAGTCACTCAAACCTGCAGACAGGAGCCAGAACTGTGGGTCAACCCTGACATTGTCCCCACTCTCTTTCAACAGGGAAGTGCCCATGGGGCCGATAGTTATGTATTTGTCCCCTTATCTTATTGAGATACTGAAGTCAGCTCATACCTGGTGGTAAAGGAGACAAGGCAGTGGGACTGTTTTTAATTCAATTAAAACATTGAACGTAAAACAGTCACCACTTGCCACCTGCTAGGCGTTCTGCTACACCCTGGAGATGAATCGAAAAGATCCTGGTCTAGCTCGGCCAGACTGTTAATCAGACACTTAGGAAGCAGATAGACCGCCCTGTATTAGGACCTTGCTCCAAGCCTTGGGGGGAGGCATCAGATGTAGTTTTGTGGTGGTTGTTTTGAAGCCCTCTCACTCAAGATTCAAAATTCTAAAGTTGACTCAACAATTTTGAGAATCAGAGAGTGGAACGCAAATTTTTTTTTCTTATAATCGAACAAAGTGTAAAATAGAAATGCACGTGAACTGAATATCAAATTTCTACCACTTCTTTGGACTTCACTAGCTCTCTGAAAATATGATTTACTCTTACATAAAACTTATTGATTACAACACAGTACTCAAAAGCTGATTCCTTCCTCGTTAGAGACTACAGAAATTTCCATCCTGTTTCCTGGGAAGGAAATTGAATTTAAAAGGTAGGATAATAAATGAAACTTGATCAGTATCAATTAGCATTCCTTGAGAGCATATACCCTGGATATATACAACTACACTAAAGATTATGAAAACAGACTACATTCTCACCACGTTTTGGATTTTGATCTGCAGTCTGAGGCAAGGCGGCTACCTCAACTGTCATGGTTTCCTTTCATGGACATGGTTTGTAAATTCCAACATAGCCTAGCAGTTTAGTTACTGTAACGACTACTGCCATTGAGTTAATTCCAACTCACAGCAATTCTATAAGATACAGTAGAACTGCCCCTAGGGCTCCAGGACAGTGAATCTTTATGAAGGTAGACGATCACATCCTTCTCCTGCAGAGCGGCCGGTGGGTTTGAACTTCTACCCTTCTAGTTCTCAGCCAAGCACACAACCACTGTGCCACCAGGGCTACACTAATGGCATTTCCTTCTCCTCCGTGCAGGATGTCTGTGTTCGGGCATACCTAGCCCTTCGTCATCACACCAACCTGCTGATCATCCTCTTCTCCATGATGCTGATGACTGGGATGCCCCAGTTAACAAGCAAAGAAGATATTGAATATATTCGAGATGCTCTGACAGTGGGGAAAAATGAGGAGGATGCGAAAAAGTATTTTCTGGATCAAATTGAAGTTTGCAGAGACAAAGGCTGGACTGTGCAGTTTAACTGGTTCCTGCATCTTGTTCTTGGCATCAAGCAAGGAGAGAAGCATTCAGCCTGATACTTGGGGCTGGTATTCAAACACGCCAACCCCCTAAAGCTTTGAATTATGATACCAGTCATTGAACGTGATTTTTTTTTTTTTTTTACATCATAGAACGTGGTGAGGTCATTTCCTAACAGAACTCTTCACTGGAGAGAGGGGGAAAAATCATCATTGCAGATTGTCAGATTGTCTTAGGGAAAACTCAGCACGAGGCCTATTTGGAGGTTTGTTTTTCTCTCTATTTGGCTCAGCAATGCTGGAGAATATTGTTTAAGTTAAAGAGACTAATGACTTCCTTATTGATCATGATGTTGTGCTAGCTCACCCTGGTTGTGCTTCTGGAAATTCTTTGAAATGGTCAGTGAAATCTATTGTCATAGCGTTTCATTTACTGTCAGTATTGTGTTATCCTTTCTGAAACGCAAGGTCCTTACAAGGGGGTGGGGCTGCAGAATGCCAGCACTGTAGCCTGTGTCTCACCCCTTAAACAATGCCTCCAACCATCCTGTCAGTGTCTACAGACGCTAAGAGCAAGGATGATCACTTAGTCTCTTCACCGTTTTTTGCCATCAGCCTCTTTCCCAGCATATACCTGAGACAGGAAACCCCCAAATGGAAAATCTGAACCTTTGTGCTCTTACCCTGCCCTGCTGGCCTGCATCCAGAGTTATGAATGTGAAAAAACAGCAATGGAACCATTCATTTCAGCTCTGCCCTCAGGATTGAATTTTCCAATACAATTCGCATGGCCTTCTCCAGCATAGGAAATAACTAAAAGGACTCGTGTTTTATCCCTTTACATTCCTCTTCCTCTCTTTCTCCCTCCTCCCTTCTTCCACCCTCCCCAACTTCCCCCAGGCTGTTACACCGAGTTATGAAATCTTCATGACAACTTTACCCTACAACTCAAAAATTTCCTTGAGAAAGAATTCCCCCTTCAGCATTTCTGGAATTTTCGGTACTTGTTGGTAAAGACGTTTAGTAGAGTTTTTTTTGAAAAGGGATATTATTAACAGAGGCATTCTAGAAACTCCAAATTAGCTTCTCCTTTTTTCTTTTTTCCCCTCCAAATTAGCTTCTACATGCCTTGATTTGTTCACGCTCTGGTCTGAGAAGTGCTTTCCGTTTTAGTTTTGCCTTCTTTCATTTTTAGTGACAGACCATTTCTGATATCTGTAAAGCCCTCCAAGTCAGGGAGACCATGGCTTGTTCGATCCATCTCTGGCTTTCAAGGAATTGTAAATTTCAACACATTTTTCAGATGCCCTAAAAATCATCACCATGTCTTCTTTAAAAACTGTTTTGATCTCTTAAATATTTTCCTATTTATGATCAGTGTTGCTTAACCTTAGTGAAAGATCATTAAATTACTTATAAAACATTTGAAAATTACCTATATTTCATACTTTATATAAAAACAACTCCCCATGAAGGATATTGCAAGCTTAAACACATGTTTAATTTTTATAGATGCAAATTGTTACTGTTTGAGATACCTGTGTGACTTTGGTTAGCCCAACCTTTGTGTTTAGTGTCTACAAAAGTCCAGCATTTCTCAACACTGACAGCAAATTATAAAGACCAGTGGCACTTTAAAAAAATTACCCTTCTGGAGCCCCATTCTCAGATTTTAATCTTATTTGTTGGGGACATTATTATCTGGACAATAATATTTTTTTCTGATCCCCCCAGCTTATTCTCATAAGCGATCAGGATTGAGCTTAGGCCAAATCCACTATGAATATATATTTTTATTTGACAACTCATCCTTTTAAAATCATGTGATGCCCTCCTCATACAGAAGACAAAATGTCTAAGAATATTCTGAAAGGAGGGTGAATGTTTTCTGGCATTTTAGACTAACTATTCCCTTTTGTAGGAAGCAGGAAAAATTATCAGTTCCTAGTTCAGGGGAGGATGTATTCATTATTCTTAGGAATAATAGCCAAGCTCAGGCCTTGCACTGATTTAGCTTCTTATTTGAATTGCCGAAATAATAATCTTAATGAAAATAACATTACCAAGGAATCTGTTTATATTTAGCTGATTGGCCCAAGTGTGTACATATTTGCTCTTCAAATGAACAGGCACTTTCCTTTTCCTGACTGTACCTAGCACATGGGGTTTGATTCTTCCCTATTCAGTTGAAGGCACAGTTTCTAATCTGTAGATTTGCAGAGAAACACACATCCCTTTGTGTGCTCTCTTCCTTCCTCCCCAGTCACTGACATGACTGGTGACTTCTGTGCCTTTGAAAATGTTATGAACGAGGGTTATCCTGGGGATGGTGGGGCTGGACGCTAAGACAGTACCTTCAGCTCTGTACTTCATTGTCAAAAAAACCCCAACACAGATCACAAGTCAGATGTTGCAGGACAAAGCGAATGTTATATACGTTCAGGACCAGCTATATAATTTACCAGACCCACTAAATGAAAATGCAGGATCCCTCAATCAAAATTATTTTAAAAGTTTAGATGGCAACCACCCACCCACTGTCATCAAGTCCGTCCCAACTCATAGCAACCTCATGGACAGAATCGATCTGCCTCCTTTGGATTTCCAAGATTTTCACCCTTAACAGAAGCAGACAGCCTCATCTTTCTCCCACACAGCAGCTGTTGGGTTGAAATGGCTGACCTTGTGCTTAGCAGTTCAACGTGTGACAAGATGACAATGGAAGAGGATGAAACCAAACCTTCTGTCCTAAGTCCCTGAATGGCTGTGCCCATGAAGCCAGCTTGGTGTAGATTTAAACAGTGGCTTTGAGGCTCCATTTTGCATATGTAGACCACACCTGGATGAGTGCAGCTAAAGTGCCCAGATTGAAAGATGGTTTCTGTCCAAATGAAATACCTCAGCTAATAAATGGCTTTATATTAGGACTGAAATATTGGCCTCATTGCTTTTGGGCTAGAACCAAAAGAATAAAGCAAACTCACTGCCACTGAGTCCATGCCCATTCATAGCAACCCTATAGGACAGGGTAGAACTGTCCATGGGGGGGGGGGTTGAGACTGGAACTCTTTACTGGAGTAGAAAGCCTCATCTTTCTACTAGAACACTGGCCATGAGAGGGAAAAAATCAAATAGACCTATATGTTTGCAGCTGACTGGCTTTAGTGGGGCTGTAACGGAAGCATGGGAAGAAGAGACAGTGTAGATAGAATAAACCAACTCCTAGAGAAAACTTGCTCTTAATAAATTAACTTTGGTTAATATATACTTTTCAAGGAAAGAACTACCAAAATACCTCTCAATATGGGAATTCTGCAGCATGTTTTTGGGATGCTATCCTGTATTCAATAATCTTGGAAATAAAGCAAACATAATTTTGAAATCAAGTTCACAAAGTAAACTCTGGTCTTTGTTTCACAAACTTGGCTCTGCTTTCCATGGCTATGTGATGAATTGCCTGTGACGTTGTAAAGTGGGAAGAAAAGGAACAGGAGGCCATTTGGAACTAAGGGGAAGAGATCCTGTTTTCTGTGCAGTCTGAACTAATGATCTGAATCAATAAAGTTGGTTCTGGACTGAGGACTTGTTTTCATATTTTCAAAGATTCATTTTCAGGGCAGGTCCATGATCCAGATGTGCAGAACATCAGACAGCCTTTCGTTCCCTCCACTCACATGTAGAGCAACTGCTCTACAAATCCCCAGCCCTGGGACTGAGCGCAGAGGGTGTCCTCTGGAGAAGTCTCAGGACCGCACCTCGCTGCCCAATCCCGGGCCTCTCTCTGACTTGGCCCTTCCTAGCCCATGGCTCTGGAAACCAGAGAAGATCATTCCTCAGAGTGATGCAATCCCTTGCTTAGGATCTAATTGCTCAAAGTGGCAGAATACACCCTGCTTCCTTTTAAGGCTTAGACGGGGTGCACTCCTTTCATCTATGGGGGTTTCAGGTGTTTCCGGCTTGAGATAGCGACAATGGTGAGGACTGTGCAGGACAAGGTGGCACTTCCTTGTGTTGCACATAGGGTTGCTATGAGTCAGATCCAACTCCACACTGAAAACAAAACAATAGGCCCTCAGAGGGATCACGGGGAAAATGCAGAGTAATGTGAGTGGCTGTGGAAGAAGGGTGGGAATGATCAGTTGTCGAGTGTGAGCAAGACACTGCAGGAACTGTTTAGAAGAAGGGAGGCAGTAGAGAGAGTGGCTTTGGGATTAGATCATCCCAAATGCAAGTCCTGAATACCATTAAAACAAGTTGCCTAACCTCTCTGAGCCTCCGCTTTCTCTTCTGTTGACTGGGGAAGACAGTAAAACCTAATTTACGGTGTTGCCATGCAGATTAAATGAAATCACAAACAGGAAGGGCTTGTTGCTCAGTAAACGATAGCTATCATTTCTCTGTTCCTTTACAAGGAAGATGCCTTTTGAAGAATTTCATGAAAACGGAAGCATACAATATTCGGTCTTTTGTACCTAGCTTCTTTCACATAGCATCATGCCTTGGAGACTTGTCTGGGTGACATTAATAAAATACAAGTGAGGAAGGCTCGCTTTCTGTCCATATTTGCTGCAATTCCCTCTAGAGCCCCCGGCCAGCTTTCACTTCTGTCTGTGATTGTCCACGCACGTGGTTTCTGCTGTAGCTCAGCTCAGTGAGAGACTCATGATTAATCTCTCTTGGTGCTGTTTATACTAGATACTGGAGGATACACAGCCTTCCTCTCAGAGGCTTCATTTCCTGTGGCGTAGGGCTGGTTGTATATAAATAGTCTCCGCTCTTGCAGAAGGCCAGGCAGCTAGCAGAATCAGTGGACTGAACAGCATGGGAGCACCTGAAGTCAGCAGAGAAGCCGAGAAACAGACCTCACGGAGCAGCGTGAATTATGGGAGTCAACTGGGGATGCAGATACCAGTTTCATCAGTCTAGGATGCTGTTCGTTGATCTAACTGCTCTCGAATTAATTCCGTCTCAGAGCAACCCTACAGGACAGGGTAGAACTGCCCTGTGGATTTCCAGGACTGTAATGCATTCTGAGAGTAGAAAGTCTCATCTTTCTCTCTCAGAGTGGCTGGCGGTTTCAAACTGCTGACCTGGCAGGTAGCAGCCCAACTTGTAGCCCCCTTCACCACCAGGCTGCTGCTATGATTTGATGCTATAGACTTGAATCCTGCTCATAGTGACCCAGTGTGATTGATGCCTCATTGGGTTTTTCCATGGTTGACATCTTTACTGGAGCAAATTATCCGGGCTTTCTTGATACCCACAGAGCCTCTGAGTGGGTAGGAATGGCCGGCCTTTGGGTCCATAGCAGAACACTTAACTATTGTGCCACCAGGGCTCCTTAAGGCCAAGGGTGAAGCCTAACGCTCGGCATCTGTATTGCCTCCCAAGGGAGGATGTTGCTGCTAGCCTCTGGACCACACTTGGAGCAGCTGGGCTCTAAAAAGACACAGAGAGACACAAAAACAGACGGCCACTGAGGCAAGCCAACCCCACGAGCGCCGAGATATTCCAGCCTATGCTTGAAAAGCCCCACTCAAACACACAAATTTCTCTCATACTGACATCAAAGCTATCAATCGTGTCTATTCTTTTCAAATGGAGCCTCAATTTTCCCATCTGGAAATGGAAATGATAATATGTATTTCCATGTTAGGCAGACTTCTAAGTGTCCCCAAATGATCCCTGCTTCCTGGTACCTGCTTACTTGTGTGATCCCTCCCCTTGTGTGCCAACCGGGCCTAGCGATTTGCTTCTAACAACAACAACAACAACAAAGTCAGAAGTGATGTGATATCATTTCTAAAATTAGGTAATAAAAGACTTTGATAGCTTTCTTTTGCCTGCTTGCTTCCTCCCACTTATGTAGTGGGATGAAGCCATCTGCTATGTGATGAGATGCCCTGTGGTGAGGTCTATGTGGCAAGGGACTCCGGTAGGTCTCTAACTAGCACCTTGTGAAGAAAGCTCTTTTCTTTTTTTTAAAACATTTTATTAGGGGCTCATACAACTGTTATCTCAATCCATACACACATCAATTGTGTAAAGCACATTTGTACATCATTCTCAA